AATGATACTCCTGAAGTATGCGCACCAAGATGTCGCATAACCTGAATCCTAACCTGGTACACAACCTGAGTTCAGGTTGTGCGCCATCTTGGTGCGCATACTTCAGGAGGTCCTTATAAATGTTGTTAAGAAAAAGTTGAAAATCCTTCAGAATACAGACTCAGTCTTCCAATTCCGGTTTCAAACTCCGGAGAAGCTAATTTCGACTCCAACATCACACTTGTGAGATTAGTATATATTATATTTCGTTATAACCCAAGTGGAAATGGCGAGCAAGCACAAAATGCAGAATATCTCAATATTGACAACTTTTATTCAAATCCACACCCGAGTTTCGAACCCAAGAACATCAGATAAAAAATCGTAGCCAAGTCGCCTGGAATTTACGACATTGTCGCTGTTGAGTCGCAGAACAATTTATTTCAGCGAATTGACGATCCAACGCTTTCGATATTTGCGGACGTGAGGCTTATTGCAGTGGTTCTCAAACGATGGGCGTGCCCCACACGAGGGGCGTAAATAATTCTTTCAGGGACGTAAAGCTGATAAAAAAATGAAAATAATTGTTGGATCTGATCTTGCCCGCTTTATTTATTTATTTACTTTTCTTTATTATTTAGAGATTGTTATTCCATTCACGTATTTTCAACGTGTTTTTTTAATAAAACATACTTTCGCCCTATGTACTATTTGAAGCTTATTAATAGCTAGTTATTTTTGAGGTGAGGCGCGAGACTTGACAACTTCCAAAAAGGGGGCGTGGCTTGAAGAGTTTGAAAACCACTAGCCTATTGGTTCGTGCGTTAAACCGATGTTGTCTGGAGCCTTTGTCTGAGAGAAAATACGCAACAACACATGAAACGCACAAGGTAGCGATATCGCCGGTTTTATTTGAACAGTTGTGTTGTTAACTGGTACCTTATGCATTAAACACACATTCGGGTCGATTTGTACTCACGAAAACCCAACGGGGAATTGGTATTCGATCAAAGGTCGCCTCCACTGCTAACAAGAAACGTTTATTTCATATAGGTTATGATGTTGTTGCCTCAGAATTGAACAGGGTTGGGATTGGTTATCGCCCCTAATTTTAAGTAACCACCGCAATTTTCAAGTTATCATTCCATTTTTTTCTGTTTATCTTATAATATTCGATGGTCTTGCTCAGTGTACTTCAACCTTTTTCATCGTGGTATACCTTTTACAATTTTCCAAGAACTTTGTATACAAATACCAATGTTTATTTGAGGCTTAAATAAACATTAAATTCCAAGCACATATTGTACTGCAATATCATCATGCAATCTAATAGGCTAATGTCCGCATGTTTTAAATTTGACTAACGGCCTTAGCGTCAACGGGAATAATGTTCAACGTAAATCAAACTAAGTGCATGGCTACCGAAATCACGAACCCAGACACGTGACCGCATTATATATATATATATATAATTTGTGATGTAACAATGTGCTCGCGTCGGTTCTATGCGTAAATGACATTGTGCGCTGCGTTTACATTGTTGTCTCCGCTTCAATATTTTATGATTTATTATATTAGAGTTTAGAATCCCTGACTTGGGCTGTACACCATTCGTATACCCTTTATCAGTTGTATACCCAACTTATGGTCCGGTATACACTTGGGTTTACCGTATACCCGGTTGAAGAGCACTGGTCTTGCTAACCCAGGGATGTGCAACAGGCGGCTGCGGGTCACAACTCGGCCCGCCGAGCCATTTAGTGTGGCCCATGTCACCACCCAGGCGCCCAGCAAGTTTTAAGTATAAGTTTGTTGCTTATTTTGATGAATTAAACAATAATATTACAAACATTTCAATTTTATTTAACCTTTAATTTATTCATTCTCATGTATAACAATTTGTCATTAATTCATCCCCTAAATTATTTTTGAAGTTAGGTATAAGGGGCATCATTATCAGAAACTCGTCCCGAGAAACAGAAAAGTTTGACTCGCCCCTGCCGACGAGGAATCGATACTCAATCAAAGGTCGCCATCGCTGCTAAAAATCACCGTAAATTTATTTTTATTATCATATTATTGGCGCATTATTGAACCCGGTTAAGTTGGGTTATTGTTCCCGATTTTCTGTTTTTTCTTCATGTCATTCGATACTTTTGCAACGATGGCGCGGTGACTAGGGCTGGGCATTGCGAATTGAATATTCGAATCGAATATAAAATCATTCGAATCGGTTCAGAGCGAAATTTTGAATCGCCGCCATCTTGTTTTTTTCCTTCCGCCAATGGTCGAGGTAAATTTCTCAATTTTTTCTATTGAAGCCATATTTTTTCAACGATATTCTGACATATGACTCTTTTCTGTAGTGAGTTATTGATGAAAACGTGTTTTTTATTGTGTGTGAACGCTCAGCAATCTGCCTGAGCGATGTATTCTATGTTTTCAGTAATTTATGTGTCTGGGGAACCTAATACAATAAGAAGGTTACATACAATTTTATATCTCCCAAGTATTCGAGATTCGATTCGAAAAAATTATTCGATTCGATTCTGAAATCATCAGGTATTCGAAAATGCCCAGCCCTAGCGGGACTTAAAGAAGGGGGGAGCCATGGGAGGTGATTTGAGCGTAGGAACTTCCCATTTTTGAAATTTCTCTTTTCTTCTGTATCGTACATGGCAATATTTTCGCAGCTTGGAACGCTTTTTAGAGCCTCAACATTTTTGAAAATCCACGTTCTTCGGCTTTCGGTGGACACGTCGGCTGTTACGGTCTAACTTGGCAATTAGAACCCCCCCCCCCCCCCCCCCCCCCCCTTGAAAAATACTGGCTACGAACCTGGTTAGTGACGTTTCAGTGACGGTCCGTATCTTTGTCCAAAGATGAGCTTCTTCACTCCTGAGTGAGTACGCGTGACCACGTTCCGTGAAATTTGAAAATGAATAAAAATAAAAGAGATTGAGTCTTCCACGCCAGCGCATTTAGTGGAACTCAAGCATTTGAGTGGCCGCATAAGTTTTCTTTACTTCTGAGTACACGTGAACAAACTTGCTCCGAAAATTAAAATAAATACTAATAATAATAGAAGATGTAGTGTTTTATGCATGGCCACAGATAATACTGAGCAATGAAAACTTCCATAAAATATACATATTTTAAAGTTTCAACGAAAGCAAAACAAAAGCAGACAAAGAAAGACGCGTGACGCTACCTTTCACCGTTACTCATTGAACGCGTTTTCCTATTTTTGTAAAACTGAGCAAAGGTCATACCATTACACGTATTTTGTGATGGCCATAGAAAACACAATATTTGATTTTTTAAGCGATTTGAAAATCTAGCAGCAAGAGTTAAAGTACTAAACACTGTACAGCGAAGCAGTCCTAAACGACGGTTGCTATACTTGTTAGGGGTGCATGTCGAACAATTGTATCTTAGAGGTATACCAGCAAAGTTTTGAACATGTATTCCGTATCTGTTATACTGTTTAATTATTATGCAGATACTGTCACCTTTTTGAAACAAATAAAAATACATGCATATAGCAAGACTCTTGAATCACTAAGGATATTTATCGTTATTCTCGCCACAGCTCGATTGTATTATATGCTTACAGATCGCACAAAAGCGTAGAATGATAATTCACTTGGCCCTACAGAAACCGATCTTTTATTTCATCATAGGTTAAAAAAAGTAAAGTCCTTCTGTAAATACCTTCTTTCAAAAAAAATACTATCTTGCGAAAATCGAACAACACATGACTCATCATAATCATGTGACGATAAACCATGACTTCTCAATTCATTTCCAGAACTTCAGGAAGTGGCAGACATTACGTCATCCAAACCAAATATGGCAACAGGTTATGCTGAAAAGTCGGGCCTAAAATACATACATGCTTATTTTTTTTGCATAGATTATTCGAAACCTGGACCCGATAACACTTACGGTCTTACCAGGCAATTTGAAATTTCAGACACCCCCCCCAACCCCCCCCCCCCCGTTGAAAATTCCTGGAAATGCCCCCGGTTTTGATTTATTTCATAGGCAGAATAAAATGATTTATTGGTGCAGAAATTGTTTAAAATGGTCTTGGCTACCGAAACGAAAAGCGCCGGTCGCGTGCTAAAAGACATAATGCTTTATTAATTATTACGTATCAACAAACCAGCTTTTTGAAATTTATAAACTGAATTGCATGCTTAAACTGACATTTGATATAATAGGGCGATGAGCCAAATTATTGAACTTTGGACTGACGTGAGAATGTTTTGCAATCCGGTCACATGTTGCGTTGCCAGAAAGTCGATGTTCTCGTTTAGCAAATGTGAAATCACAGTGCGTAATACGTTTTGCACTGGTTAACTACTCCTTATCGGTATTGGGTACAAATGTCTTCCATCCCACATATAAAAAAAATTTTCAACCTGTTTTTTTGAAATGCAACTTTGTGGCATTTGCAATGAGACAAACTCTTCCGCTTTTTCCGACACCATTTTGCTCAGCGGCAGCTTTATCTTGCATGGTTCGGAGCAGAAGGCATGAGAAAGTGTCGTATTACGTCATTATAAAGAAATAGCCCCCCCCTCAATTTTTCTTGACCACTAAGTCATACGTTTGTAATATTTTAAAAATTTTTCATTCAATCCTCCATTTTTTAACTTCATTATTATTTAAAGAGGTCAAGTCATAATACACCACTATTATAGCATCATAAAGGTGACCCAACAATTAACGTTCCCTGCATATTGTTATCTTTGCTTGCCAAGTAAATACTGATGAATGACTCATCATTTTAATGCCTATTCGCTTCCGAAGTATATGCATCAAGATGGCGCACAACCTGAACCCTAACCTGTTACACATAATATGTTCAGATTATGGCCATCTTGGTACTTCGGGCGCTCCGATAAAAGAGCACAAGATACTTGTTGTATAGTCACTACAGAACAAAGATTTGTTATTCATTTCAATCCCTGTTCCTAAATCCACTCAACCAAAGCCAAGAAACACAAAATTAATTTAATTTGTTATACAGATATTTAATTCATCAAAAAAAAAATTCAATCATATTGGCATTGAATCACGATATACTGATAATTTCACAAAAAAACTAACAAATACGATACTAAGCGGGGATGGTCGAAAGCTTCATTTATTCAATATTTGAGAGAAAATCATGTTTTCACGAATTGAAAATGGATACTATTGATCGCCAAAACCAAATAACTGATCTTCCTAATAGATTCTGAAATAATGTTTAAAAATATCGAAAGTATTATAAATTGGGTCGTGAAACATGTATAAGTCAGGGTGACACAATAAAAGCGGAATGTTCCAAATGGCCTCGGTTCCGATTTTTGTGTCACCCTTCAATGAATTTGAAAACGCTGGAAAGTCAAAATTAACACTGATTTGATTGAAAATATATTATACAATCAATATTTGAAAGCATTATCTCAGAATGAATTCAGCTTTTTTTTAATTTAGTTTTTGTATAATGTCATATTTTTCTTGCTTCACAGTTTTCTGGGTGTAATTTATAACCATGAAAAGTTGATAAACATTTTTTTTTTACACAAAATGACAAAAAATTTCAATCTCACAATCCTAAATTGTATTGCTACTTGGTGACACTTCCAGCTTGTAAAAAATAACACAACAAGAATATCAAATTAATTATTCAATGAACTACGGGTAAATGAAAAAGCTAATCAATACAAAATTGCATACAAGATGTAAAGATTTGATGGTTGAACGAACAAAACCAACAAAAAAATTCTGCCAGTTAGCTATGAACTTTTCACACACACAAAAAACACTTATTAGGCCAAAAAAAAATCAAACGCTGTCCTGAAATTTGCCCATCAAGAGCAGAGTGGGCCGAATCTTATCCCTAACTAAAAGCGAATTCATTAATGATGAAAATGAACCCATTTATTGTAATTTGGTTTGGATTTTATGAGATACAACAAAAATGCATAAAGACTGTTATACTTATGAAATCACGAAAAAAAAATTTCCAATGAGATTCCTATTTTATAAATCACAATAAACAATGTTCCTATTGAAAATTTCATTTCATAAATCACAAAAAATATATTCCCATTGCAAATACTATTTGAGAAATCACAATGAAAATCTATTTTCAATTCACTGTAATATTAATTTTATTCCCATCCTGCTAAAAATCACACATATTCTGTCAAATGAATTACCAATATCCATTTCCATTTCGAACAACTTTAACCTTATGGGCACCAAACTCGAGCTTTGGTTCGACAGAATTAGAGGCAACAACTGCAACAGGTATTTCCACGCATGTCAGGTCTTGGTCGCTGTTTTCTTTGTCGTTGTCAACTAGTTCCCATTTGACATAGAGTTTTATCTGAAATATGGACAATAGAGAGATGTTTGAATATATAGTCAAGAAAGTCTAATACAGTGTTTTTCAAACCGAGGGGTCGCACTCCACAATGTGAGGGAGGGGGGATGGGCGTAGAAAATTTTGAGGGGTCGTAAAACTAATTAAAAATACAAAAATATTTGTTATATTTGATCTTGCCGCCTCATTTTGGATACTTACATTTCTTCATTATTTACATTTTTAACATGTTTTTTGAATATAACATACTTTCATCTTACTATCTGTTATTTGTAGAATATTGTTTACCTAGTTATTTTGAGGGTAGGGCGTGAGACTTGACAAATTCCAAACGGGACTCGGCCTAAAATTTTTTAAGATCACTGTAGTATAGTATTAATATCAAAACCTACCGCAGGATATTCAGATTTGATAGGCAACGTTGCTGTGTATGTAGCTTTGGTAGCATTTTGCAACGGACAATTCAATCCAGAATCCTCGCAAGCATTAGGGTGGTCAAAAGGGAAAGGAACAGGAACACCGCCTAGGACGCCGTATATTTTTGCACCTATTGCACTGACCATAGTTTCTAAAAAAAAAATAAAAAATTTTCGTTACGAATGTGGGTACAATGCTCTGGCAGTTAAACCAGGGGTGTGCAACAGGTGGCATGCCAAGCAATTTAGTTGGTTCCCTTGTCAAGATGTCTCAAATACTGGTTTGATAACATAGGCTCTTTATTTGTCAAAGAAAGAAACATAAGGCTCTCTATTTGTCGAAGAAAAAAAATATGTCTGGTATGGCATTTAAATCAATCGTGACACGCCTTGGCAGTTATGTGATCCCTCCCTCCCAATGATGATTTTTTGCTAAAACTCTCGAATGCTACGGTAACAATTTTTTTCTTTCGGTAAATTGAATCATTTTTTTATAAGAAATTTAATAGTGACTTTTATTTTATAGATTGCGCTTTCTTTTCGTTTATTACGTAGTGTCGGTTCGTGGTAATATGGATGCAGCAGACTGTCTTTCGAAGGAGAGGTTTGTGCTTAACATTATAATTGATGTCTCAAAATTTATTTATTGAAATTAGAGAACTGTGTCACGCTACATTCTGGGAAAATTCGTTCGAAAAAGCTTCTAGACTTACTTGTAGTAAACGACATGGAGATGGTGTAGTTTGAGCCTTGCTTCAAGGAACATGGTTCAGCAGTACAAGGCTTGACATCAACCACCACATCTTCTGCAAGTTTACTACCTGAGATGAAAAAACATAATTGTATTAGTATGGTATTAGCTTCAAATTATGGTTCTGACTGGCATATCTCCTTTAATTCCAGAGACGCGAATTTGATATTTCCCAGCCAATAAGACAGCTTGCCATATGGCACACTGAGGCTTCTCTAAGTACCAGTCAATGTTAAGTACGGGATTAGTTAGCTAGCTCATTGTTTTGGGTGCATGGGCGTAAGGGTACAACCAGCGGCTATTTGAATCCCCCCTATGGCCACACTGACATGGACTGGTAACTGGACGAGGGCTTTCCTCTCCCCGGGATAAATTTGTGAATCCAATCCTAGGGTCTGGTATAGTTTAGTACCACATACACTTCTAGTTGGTCTGGCTCAACAATTTTTGCATATGTCATTTCTAACCCCTACCTAACTATGTCACCAAAAAATTACGTCATTTCGACGTCACAGTGGCATAATAAGACCCACCAAAGTATGCGGATGGACGTCCGAAATGCGCAGACGATCATCCGAAATTGAGCAAGCTATTCCTCTCGTTTTCTCGTCACAACGATCACGATAGGATATAGATCGCTGGCTTTAGTGAGTTCGTTATCGGCGGTGCAGCAGCCCTTTCGGGCGATCGTAATTATACTTTGGCGAGCCATACGGTCTGACGTGATGGTGACGTCGTAGTGACGTAACTTTTGGATGGCATAGTCAGGTGGGGGTTAGGAATAACATATGCCAAATTCGTTATGCTACACCCACTGGAAGTACTTGTGGTACTAAACTATACTAGACCCCCAATCCTATCCATTAAAGAAAAGAACAGTAAACACACAAAGATTGGAAAAAACTGGCTTCTCCTTCAGTGGGGGAACATGTATTATGGATGTTTCAAAAAAATTATTTCATGTTTGGTTCCCTTTTTAGCTTTTTCATCTTTATCTTTTCTGTAAATCTCCCTCTGTTCAGTTTTTATTCCGATGAGTCGAAATAAAATAGGCTATATCCACCTACAGACCTAAATCAATAAAGTTTGAAGCTTACCACAATCTTTAAATTTCACATTCATTGAAGTAGCAACTGCAAATACAGACAAGAGACAAACCAGGAACAGCTTCATGATTAAATAATAATAAACCTTCACACAAACGTTATTAAATGAACAAAATCCAGGTACAAACTGCAAAGCGACCGTTCCGCTGACTAAATACTGTAGGAATAGCAAGAGCGACAAATCCGAATTACTGAGAAGCAAACGCAAATTAGATTTGAAGTTACGATACGTAATATTAAACTTCATGTTAAGCTTTTCCGCTTTTTTAGCAAATAAAAAAATTAGTTAACAAAAATTATATTTTTGCAATAGTTTAATTATATAAATTTTATTTAATTAAAGTTTCAAGTATCAAAATAATAGCATATAGTGACATATGCAAAAATTGAGAACTTAAATAACATTTTGCATCGTAACTTTTATCTCACTATGACGTAAAACGATAAAATCGCCTGATTTTCGCGTGTTTCGCTGCGGGAGATCTGTCAATCAATCGCTTATGCAACGATAACTGTTCAAGCATAAATGTTACACAACATTGTTATGCATTGGGTCTGGTTTAAGTATGGCGAAGTTTGAACTCTCAGATAAATTGGGTTTGCACTATCTTCTGCTCTCTATCTTCATCTGCCGGCTTGGGGGCTTGGTATAGTAATTTTTTTTGGCTCTGCTGCTTTTTCATACCTTGTTCAGAGCGATTGTTGATTGCACATACTGGACGATACACATTCGAAAGCATCAGAAGTCTCATTATAGGTGAATGTTTAAATAAGATAATATATTTTGACCTCCGTTATGTCACAAAAAGATTCGAGACCAAAAACAATTGTGGATGAAAGCAAAAATATGATAATAGTCAACACAATTTTTTTTACGATATTGACTGAGGGAAGCATGATAGGATGCGGTTATTAGGGTCAGCTCCATTCATATTCACTTGTATAGACATATTTCACAGTTGTTCGATGACACAATATATATAAAGGGTTAATTAAGTTTCTCGCGTTTATCTTACTACCTATTATTTCTGTGGTTCTGTGCGCGTCAATTTAATACCTTTAGGTGAGTGAACATGTACCACTTATTTTGGCAAAACTTTTCAACTTATATTTGTACATTTCAATCTTAAACCTTTTGTTTGCTCTCCCGATTCTATAATCAGTTTTCATTTATCAACTATTTCATCGTCTGTCACTCTGATTATGGAGTCGAAATTAACTTATACTTATCCAAAAAAGTGGATCGAGTAAACCTCCCAAATCTCAATGTCCGGTAATAGCTGTTTTGATTTTTGCTATAGTATGGTAATACCTCGGCCTCACGTCCGACTACCAGTCCATGTTGGACATGTGATTATTTAGCCAGTTATTTTGTTTTGAGATGCATGGACCATAAGTGACCAGCGATCACATGAACCAACCTAGGATTCCAGCAACTCTCCCGCACAAAATTATTCTCCACAGGTTTCGAACTCACGCAGGGTTATCAGAGATTCTGTGGCAAGCGTATTCCTAACGCTTAGCAGGATGCGCCACACTACCGCCATGTCCTTGAGGGGCATATGGATCCACTATCACAAGGGCAGATAGAAAAGAACAGTAGTTTGAAACATACAACTCCAATTAATCGCATATATTTATATGATATTGACGTATTACTAGTCGGCGGCGTGGCTCATCGTGCTAAGCGTTAGGAATATGCTCGCCACCGCACCTCTAATTACTCTGCGTGGGTTCGCAGGTTCGAATCCCAGGCGGGGATAGTTATGTGCGAGAGGATTGCTGGACCCCCACCATCAAGTCCATGCTTCCGAAAACAAATGACTAACTAATCCCATACCTGACATGGAATGGTAACCAAACGAGAGGTCGTGGTTCGCCAAATGGTTAAGCCGTATTATCGGTTTTTCTCTCCCTCGGGATAAATATGTAAATCCTATCCTATCCACTGTTTCTGCATGGATTTCCCCATGTAGTTTTTATCGATATTCTTAGACACCAAGTCATCAATTTCTTTGTTGTGTGCGAGCTCACTGAAGCATCAAGTTCACGTACTAATCCTTTTTTTATGACAAAAGTGAATATCCGAATCTGAATCTATATTATATTCTATATATTTCTTTATTGGAAAACATTTACACAAATTTATATCAACTATACTATACACAGAATAAAGTTTATTTAAAAGAATCCTGATAGTCTCTGATCTCCTCTCAGTCTTGACTCGAGTTGCATGTACTTGTGTGGAGCCATCTGTTTGTGCCTGTAGAAGAGAAAAGGTGCTTTTAGCTGAAGGATAGGATTTGCATATTTTCCCGGGCTAATAAGACACTTAATCATATGACGAACAACGGCCTCTTATCCAGTGACCAGTTCATATATGTCATCATTGTCATCAATAAGTAAAACTAGAATATCGGTCAGAGACCGAAGACTTATCGATCGAAAGTAAGGGGATCTCCCAAAAAAGTGCTCGTACTCCATAGTGACACTTTGTGTTCCATCACTAATTAATTAATAACTCGCTAATTATACGCCATAATTCATCCAAAATCAATAGGCTTCTGGTCCGACATATGATGAATGCACATGCAAAATTTGGAGCAGATTCTATATTGCTTTCGTTTGATATCGCGTGCATCTAACAGACAGACAAACACCTATCAACATATTAACCAATAAAATCGATAAGTAATAACCATGCGTAATTCTGTTATTATGGCTTAGAATTTTCATTTTTTCTGAAAAGGGAGAAGTCGATAAAACATCTTACCGAAATGGCGAACCATGACCTCTCGTTCGATTACCAATCCACGTTGGTTATAATCGTTAAACCAAACACAAGTTAGAGCTCAAGATAGTGAGCGTGATGGCCTATTTACCCCTTTTTAGGGGTAATTTAGAGGTAAAATTTGTCTCAAATTTCCTTTTTTGACTTTCATTTTTTTTTTGGTGGGTGTTGTCTACGGTCTGAATACGGTGTATGGAACACATGGTGATTCATTTGTACCACTCTCTCTGGGGTGACTTTGAAAATCCTATTTTTACTTGTTAAGCTTTAAGATGTGAATTCTGAATACAGCAAATAATTGGAGAACTATTCCATTCCCGACGACTAGAGTTGTATTTCATTCATCTTCTTATCAGCTTTCATCTCCCTACGAAATTATATTCATTACCTGTTAACCTGAGCTCCAAGATGTGAATTCTGAACATAGCCTCTGAGCAGAAGTTAAAATATTCTTCCTCATCTTCTTTCGTCATGGTAACCTGTTTCTGCTGATAATCCTGTTGTCTGCGATGGAGTTCACCGGTCTCCTGTGGATGGAAAAAAGTTTTGGTGTAATGAACGGGTTAGAGCAAGAGTGAGCAAGGTTTTGGGACCAAGGGCCAAATATTTTGCCCACCCAGTCTGGCGGGCCATGTAAAGTGTGATGTAAAAAGTGACATTTTATGAACAATATTCACAGTGTTACAAAAGCAAAAGTGGAAAAGTAAGCTTCGTGCCAAAACTAAATCTAATCGCAATCTCAACAAATTCTTAGAGGTATCTTTTAGCTTAAACATAAAAATTTGGTTTTAGTTTGGTTGTTGTCGCATCAGGTGGGCCAGATTGTAGTACCCAACGAGCCCTAGTTTGTCTATGTCAGGGTTAGATGTACAACAGTTGAAGTATTGTGAAAACACATGGCAACACCCTTGTCATTCTATCTTCGCAGTATGTTCCCCAGCTTTTCATTTCAGGGGTCATTCCAAATTTAGGGGGTTGAAGATATTCAGTTTTTAGTGATAAAACTATTTCTGACTTATAAAATTGTGTTCTATATTTGGTACTCCCAAAGTATTTGAAGCAAGATGGCGGACACCGGAACGTAGTATGTGTACCGGATTAGGGTTAAGCCATAATTTCAGGTTCAAATACTACAGGAGTCACTTGGTTAGTCCCCGAACTAGTAATAAAACTAGAATAAGGAAAGTTAGAATAAAATCATGGCCTAACCCTAACCTGGTACACATAATGCATTACGGTGTCCGCCATCTTGGTTCACATACTTCGGGAGTACCCTATATTCGACTGATCATTATCATATAAATATAAATTTATTTAAAAAAAAGTCATCGATAGAAAAGCCCGACCTGAACGTAATGATTGACATTTCAGGCCCTTCATATCTTATTTTCAATGTACAACGAAACCCTTCGAATCCCAGAGGTCAAAGTTTAAGCTTTCATCCTCAAGCCGCACAAATATCTCTGGTTCCATGAATTTTCGTCCCTAAATAAATCATGCATTGAACTCATTACCTTTTCGAATCTAAGTTGTATCAAGTTAGCTTTATCAATCAATCGTTGTTTCAAGTCGGCCATGCAATCTTCCTTCAACTTAAACGCTTGAGTCTTCGTGATTTTGTCTGGGTTACCAATCTGGGCCAGGAACGGTGCAAGATAATCCATCTCCATCTCTTGACGTCTGAGTTTCTCTTCTTGGGCTTGGATTTCCTGGTTAGAAAAAAGGGAAATAATTTATTCACACATTTCGCTCTGAACAAGGCTCTGCAAAGGCAACTATGTTTTCGGGTAAATATATGAACACAAAGTAGTTCGGGTATACAGTAGGTCAGAGTCCACGGTACCCTGTGCTCACGACTTCGGTAAACCATAAAATCGCTGAGACGAAAGCAGGACCGCCACAAGTAGCGCAATTTTTTTATTTATGGTGATGTCATCACAGTCACACACAAAAAACGAATTTCACAGAAATTTTTAAAATAAATACAATTAGCAGTATACTAGAAAAAAATACATTCTTCGTCCACTGAAAATTTCTGTTTGTCAATTGGTTCATTAGTTAAGAGAAAGGCGATATTTACAAAACAACAAGATGGAAAATACTAATACCATATATCTAAGAATACGTGAATCTGGTTCGACATTGCTTTCCAAACTTATAAGACCCTATGTGTACTGGTGTTTTTGTAAGTTAAGTTTAGTTTATAACTTCACGAACAAATCCATGAGTATCACAGACACTTCAATTCACTTAAACGTTAGCAGCACCTCGAAGCGGTACACAAGGAAATGATGAAGCACCAACAAAACATGACTCGATAAAAGTATACCAAGTATGACTCAGTATATATATTACTGTCTCCAGGAAACAGATAAAATTAAAAATGCAATGTAAATTACCACAGTCGGAATAGAATCATAGTTAAGTGTAATGCATTAACTGCTAGAATATCGCACCCATAAATTAGTACAGAGGTACCAAGAAGGTGAATTGAAAAGTTATCTGTCCCTCTATAAGTATAGTGGCTCAACGTGGGAGTAATGGACTATCTGTTAGGGCAGGGATGGGCAATTTGTGAACCTCATGACAAATTTTTGTGAGGCTACCAAAGTGTCAAGGCGAACACTTAAAAAATAACGGATGAAATTTGATAAAAATTGGATTACTATAAATCTGTGCGGTTCTATTAAGTGATGACTACCCATAACTTGAAACAATTGAAGTCAACACAGTTAGGGAAAAAGAGAGGCGTAAAAAACAAGTAAGTTCATAAAAGACAATATAAGCTAATTAACAACTCACCAATTCCTTCCTATGTTTCTTAGCTTTCTCGTTTCGTTCTGTGTCGTAGACTGATATAGACAACTCATGAGCCATCTCTTCCCGCTGTCTGTCAAGCAGAATTTCACGTACTTCCTCCTCAGATGCTCGAACAAGCTGTTAAATAAATAAGGCATTATAAAAGTCAGCTATAAAAAAGTAAGGCATTAGATAGATCGACTGTTATCGATTTCTGGGGGTTTACGAGGGGTAAAACTTAATATTTGGAGGCTAATATCAAGATTCATGAATTCTATGAATTATGTGATGAATATCCACGCCAGTGGTTTCAAACCTTTTATGGCTTGTGGCCACCTTCCAGATTCTTTTAGCACTCACCCCTGTTTAACATTCCAGTGGTATTTATAGCGTTATTTTGATTAGTAGATTCCAGATCCAATTATTTTCATCCAGTTCATGCTCAACAAAGTGAAAACACAGTGAAATAACCTTATCAAGTATTGAAACTAGGAAGAAGGGATAGTTTACACAGGGAAAGTAAAATCAGATTTTCTCATTACAACTGGAGAATAAATAGAAGCCTCACCTGAATGCTTTTTTGTTCCAATTGTATTAGTTCCACCAGTTGATCATACACGGCCAAGTGTTTTGAAGGAGAAGCGTGAGTGTCAATCTGAATGGAAGGACAATATTAACATGGCTTAGTCGTTGGATCTTTTGTTCAAAGCCCCCTTAAAAGAAAAAACGACAACGCTCAAAATGAGAATATCAGTAATTATCCAATTGAGGTCAGGAATACATGATTTACCGGTAGTAGCTCAGTGTTACTATTAAAAACAAAAAACTTCTTTGGGCTGGTTCTCTAAACGCTGTCAATCACTTCGAAAATCGTGAGTGCAAAGGTGCCCCGCAGTTTTCGCAAATAAAAGTAAGTTCATGTTCACTATACGCTGTAAGTACCTCTAGTTGTCGTGGCACAAACATTTTTGCATATGTCCTTCCTAACCCCCACCTGACTACGTCATCCAAAAATTACGTCGTTACAACGTCACAATGACAAAATAGGGCAAATTATACAGATTGTTGTCTAAAACGTGCATACGATCGCCCGAAATCAAGCAAGCTATTTCTCTTATTGTAGCGATCCCGAAATGAGAGAGATCGTTGGCGTTATTTCGGGCGATCGTAGCTTTGCTTTGGCAAGCTCTATTACGTGATTGTGATGCCGTAGTGAAGTGGTTTTTGGATGACATAGTCAGGTGGGGGTTAGGAAGGACATATGCAAAAATGTTTGTGCAACGTCAACTAGAGGTACTTACAGCGTTTAGTGAACATGCGCCCACTTTTATTTGCGAAATCTGCGAGGCACCTTCGCACTCACAATTTTTCTTACAGTGAGCGCAGTAGTTTTACAGTAATTTAAAAATTTCTCAATCCAAGTTAATTTCTTAGGGGTAGCAAGACTCAATATTTTTGTTATTGTATTATGTTTATAATAGTGTTGACTATGTTTTGTGGCAATAAACTTTTTTCTCTCTCTAACTTGGTAAAGTTATCTTTATTCTTACTATCAATCAATCATTCATCATCATTTATTCGTCAACACAATTTAAATGTATTATAGAAAAAATATTACAAATACAAGTGAAAACTAACTCAAATTGTGTGACAGGAGTCGCGAGGGACATCAAGAGGTCTTCAGGCTGCGACACTTACAGCACTACATATTACAGAACGGGGGCAGAGCCAGATTAGATTTTGGGGGATCGGAAACCCCCCATTTGAAATGTAAAAAAAGAATTTACATAGTAGAATTGGTTTTACCTGGAAGGTAGCTGTCATATCTGGTGTCCACTGTAGATTCCCAGTTTTTTCTTCTGCGTTGGGGGGTTTAAAAAATTCGCGAGTCGACATTGTTATATTCTCGTTCTCACGATGGAAAGATAGCTGGATTTTGTCTTCGGATAAAATGAAAATTCTTTCTGCGATGTCTGCGTTTGCCAAGATGTCCTTGTTGCGATGGAAATATTCTGAAATCCTCTGGAGAAAAATAAAATAAATAAATAGGATTCTCTAATAAATATAATTGGGGAAAGAAAGTAGAAATAAAATTGATGGCAGTAGCAATGAATGATGAAGCTACAAGGTGGTAATTTTTTCCTAATTATTATTGAAGTGTCTATTTTTGCTGAAATTTTTTTTTGTTTATTTCATAGTTTTTCCTAGCATGAAAAAGCTAATGAGCCACATATTTTTTGCGCAACAAAAAAATAGACCAAAAAAAGGTTGAGAACCGCTGAACTAATTTGCACAAACACAATACATGTGTGGTAAAACCAGGATGAAAGCATGTTTAACAATCTTAGGAATTGTGGTCGGACCCTTTTTTTAAAAACCTTTTCTCTCCACAAACATAAACACAGGGTGGCCCAAACAAAACGGAACCCATAAATTTTTTAATTACTCCTGTAAATATAGAGTAAACTATTTGGTTTTGTTTGAACTTGAACTTCTGTCTGTTAACAAATTTATGTTTTTTTTTGTGGCAGCCTTGTAATATAGTAGTGACCTTTAACCCTGAAGGCCAATTCATGTCTGAAGATGACTTTTAAGTTTCTTTTACTTCTCATGTGTACGATGTTACAGAGATACAAGGGACATTAACTGTTAGTTTCTTTATCTGGAATGCGTTTTGTTCAATGTGAATGAGGGGCTTAACAGCAATATAGTTGTGTGTGCTTACACTGTTACACACTCCCTGACAACCCTGTATTAAAATTCTCTTCCCTGATTCAACGGTGCTCTCGTAGTATGTGCACCAAGATGGCGCACAACTTGAACATAGTATGTGTACCAGGTTAGGGTTATCAGATTGTGCGTCATCTTGGTGCACATACTACAGGAGCACCGGTTTAACTTACCAGTATAGGCCTTGGAGGTCCCTCTGCAACAGCTGGTGCTAGTTTTTTAACTCTTTTCCCAAAAATAATGTGTCGAAAATACAAGAAATCTTCCCTGTTTTCATAATATTCTTTCATTTCTGATGGAGTTTCTTCTCTTTTAGATAAACCGTCAACTCTAAAAATAAGATGAAGTACTTTCCACGGTACTTTCAAAGTATGTAAACCAAGATGGCGGGCACCTGAACATAGTATGTGTACCAGGTTAGGGTTGGATCATAATTTTATTCCAATTTTCCCCATTTTGGTTCTATTACGAGTTCGGGGACTAACCAAGTGACTCCCGTAGTATTTGTACCTGAAATTATTGCCTAACCCTAACCTGGTACACATACTACGTTCCTGTGTCCGACATCTAATTCTTGTTTGAGCAAACTTGTATTTAAAATGTACCTGTGCCCTGAGCTATGGTGAAAAATTAAACAATATTTGGATTATAATATATCAAGGCGTCATTGCCAGGCAGTTTCAATCTGCGTGAACAATGCTTTTTTATCAATTTATAAAGGAAAAACTCAACGAATAGTGGTTGATAACTCGTATATAGCTAGCTCTTATTGTGTTTGTGGCAACTTGCAACTCTTCTATCAGTACTCTTTCCACTTTTAGTTGAGGTATTGGGGACCTTGCTTTGATCTAACTTGCAACCGTTCTATCAATACCCTTTTAATTTTTAGTTAAGGGCTCGCAACCTTGCTTTGAGAAAATCTACTTTCTTTGGACAGGATTTAAAGATTTATACCAGGGGATTAGGAAAGTTGATAATGCAGCTTAATCATGAGGTGAACCAGTCTGGATACCAGTCAATCATTTATTTGTCGTCACAAAAACAACAAATGCACAAAAAATTGATACAAGAAATAAATATACTAGTAATGTTACTTGTGTGACAGGAGTCGCGAGGGACCTTGTTAGGTCTTCAAGCAGCGACACCTATGAGATTAGTTGGCCAGTTATTTGTTTACAGATGCATGGATTTGACTTTTGAAGGGATGATTTACTTGTGATTAAGGGTTCAAAATATGCAATTTGTATAGATAATCACTCTTACCTTGCACTATGATAAAAGATCATGACTCTCTCTGATTCAGGGTTTGGTGACTTCGCTTTGAATGTATGTTCACATAATGACCTTGGGCGTCCTTCAACAAATTCTTCTGTGATGATGCCACCTTCCTCCCTTGCGTTGTTTGAGCTTGTCTTCGCGATTTGCAAAGCGCTCTTCAACCCTTTGTAGGTCTGTCACTAGATGGAGTGACAATAAAATTTTATACAATTCTCACTCAGAGCAAAGTTCTGCGAGACTATCCACTGAGACGTGAAGAGCTACCATGCCTCAATACTACCGCAATCTATCCAGTTTGGCTGTATCATGCACAAGGATTTTTTTCGAAGCTTAAAATACTTTTTAAACTTTGGAAATCTTTAAACCCCAAGTTTTCTGGACCTGCTAGCTGTTATGGCAAACTAAGTTGGCAATTAGAGATTTCAGAACCACCCATTAAAAATTCCTGGATACCCCCCCCCCATAATTGCCACCCAATTTATTCCCCAAAAGCACAGGAAGCTTAATTAATTCTGAGTACAAGAGAAAGGTACATAAGTATGATGGCTAAGTGGTTAGATTTTCAGTCCAATTATATTCCATCAGGATAAGATTTTTATATTTAGACATGCAAATAGTGAAGCTGATATCCCAGTTTGTTTATGAGGCAATCCACAGCCTCTCATCTGGTTACTGCTTCAGAGTAATAAATCAATGGTACACAAGTAATAGCTTTTCCATCTTTCGAAAATTGAAAACTTATTGATTGAATTCTTGCAGATAAAAGTGATTTACAAAATGGCGATGTCCAAATATAACATTTTCGCCTGTTTGTCGCCAGTTGGAGACAAATTTACGACCCTTAGGCGCCGAAATACAGCAAAGATCGCCATGTCAACCAATTTAGTGGTAATTTCTGTCTCGCGAAGCGGAAGAGTATTGTAAAAGTAGCGTTAATAATTGTTATATATGGTGCTTTTCCACCTGAAACATAATGAAAATCGACTTACATTCATTATTATTGAACACTGTCAATCTCTCAATCAACCCTTCTTTCAGTAGATAAGGAGCGTACTTCTCAAGTTTTGCTTTCTTGTACAGGATTGTCTTCTTGCCTTGAGGACACCTAAAAAATTCAGACTTTGTGTGAGAAAAGGCGAAATTGCCTGATGCAGGTTCTCACTACCAAAGAAAATTTGTTGATAGGGAAACTGCCATGCTCTTCTTTCGCACCGATACTCTTTATTAGTTTGGTAAAGTTCAAGGTGAGAATGCTCTGGCCCCTAAACTTCACAGCTCGGCAATAGGATGCCCCGGGAAACAATATACAATGCGATAAAAATAGTTCAAATATAAACACCCAAATTGGGTATGCAATGACAAACAAAAAGACTCCAGTCCTACCAGTATACAGTAGTTTTGGTACTCCCGTAGTATGTGTACCAGGTTAGGGTTAGGCCACAATTTAATTCAGATTTTCCTTATTTTAGTTCTATTCTGAGTTCGGGGACTGTCTGTGTTAGCCAAGTAAATACACTCCCTGCCCATAGATTTCAGTCTCTTTACACAACTTGATGTAAAGTAGGCGAACAAAATTAGTTACCTTCATATTGGTACACATACTTCTGAGGCTCCGAAGTTTCTTATAAACCAGGCTACTTTAACCTTGTTCAGAATGAGAACGGGTCACAAAAAAGGCGCTCTGACGTATGTGCACCAAGATGGCGCACAACCTGAACCCTAACCTTGTACACATACTCTGTTAAGGTTGTGCGCCATCTTGGTGCACATACTACGGGAGCTCCCAAAAAAATTAGTCGAATCGAACCTAGAATCATAATCTCTCTCTGAAATTTCGATTCGTTTGACCCAGGAAGCTGGCATATCCAGATGTTTTTCATCGTCCTTTCCTTCCTCATCAAGGTCATCAAAATCATCGATTTCATCCTCCAAATCTGGGATCTCCAAACCCGGTTCTTTGCTGCCGATAAACATGTACTCCCACTTGGTGGTGTCTGTGAGCTCGAAGGATAGATCCTGAAAATAAATGAATGAGTGAATATGGATGAATAAATGCGAATGTGAGAATACTGTGGTTTAATGAGATGTGTTATTTTAATCAAGGTACCCAATACAACAGCGGTTCACAACAGGGAAAACAGTACACACAGAAAATGAACCGAATTCAACCCTGGGACATAACTAATATATTATTATTGATTATTTTACATATTGTATTCAATACAAACATTTTTTTGCTTCTTATTTTGAATGGTCATGGTCAGATTCAAAAGCCGGCAGTCGATTGTGAATTTCACCCGGCGTAATATAACAATATATATTTTTCACTTCAAACTTCTCTCATTTTGAAAAAAAAAGGGAAACTACCTTGCATCCATTAGAACATTCCTGCATATTCGCCCAATAATTAAGATGATTCCAAACACTTTCAATCCCAAGAAATTTACTTGAACTGGGAGAATAAGCAACTCCTGAAGAAAAATGAAGAAAATCAATATGTGACTGATATTTGAGTTGAATATAGCCGAGAAAGGGGAGGGGTTACCCCACGTCACCCAGGGTGAAATAAATTGGGTAAGAAATGCCACATCAGAAAATTATGGCCCTTTCAAATAACGTAGCTTCTCAAGAATCGATAAATAGGATTTACATATTTATACCAGAGTAGAGGAAAGACGGTTACCAGTCGATGTCGGGTATGAGATTAGTTAGCCAGTTATTTGTTTCAGATGGACTTGTAGGTGGAGGAAGTCGTAGCGAGCGATTATGTGACCACTCTATGGCAGCAAGGAGTCCAGCAATCCTCTCGTACATAATTAACCCCCTCATGGGATTCAAACCAGCACAACCCACTCAGGGTAATCAGAGGTGCGGGGGCGAACGTTTTCCTAACACTGCCAATTTCATTATTCAGTATCATAATGATACTTTAGTATAATAATAATATTTATGCACACATTACAAACTATTCAAACCATATAGGAGCAATTGGGTATGCAATGACAAACCAAAATACTCCAGTCCTTATACATTCGTTAGGTTTCCCGTAGTATGTGTATCAGGATAGGCCATAATTTTATTCCGATTTTCCCTATGTTCGGGGACTGTCTGTATTAGCCAAGTGAAATAACACCGCCAAGCATGTACCTTTTCTCAAAGAAAATTAATATTTACTTCTGTGTAAAGAGTGATGCATCATCAAATATCTGTAGCTCTTAGCTTTCTAGTAATCCTGTTTACTTCAGTGTGAAAGCATGCGACGAAGCTTTAAAAAAATTATTTAAAAAAAAAGAACCAGTAACTCACCAGTGAATGGCTCAATGAAGAAGTCCTCAGGTACTTCCCTTTTCCCACCACGGACCATGATCCAAGAATGAACTCTGAGTCCGTATAATGGGTCTGGAGGAGGTTTCTCTGCTTCCTGATAAAATGTAGATAAAGGTCAAAGGTCAGTTTTCACTCTGAACAAGGCTCTGCAGAACCTCAACTGATGTGGGGAGCAATTTTTGAAACAAGCTAGAATATTTCTGGTTTTGATTTTCTGAAGGAATTAAGTCCATACTGGGAGAGATGGTGGGGCAGATTGAGATTCAGATATTTATTTTTACAGCATGCAAGAATTGATGTACAAATTGATTTGAATGTGGATAAAGGCATGATAATAATAAGAGCATGATAAGAAGAGCACACAAGGCATGATAATAATAGATAAAGATAATCCATATTGAGAAATAGAAAACATACATGCAATAAACTGGCTGACTAATCCCATACCCGACATAAACTGCAAACTGGTCGATAGAATAGGATTTACATATTTATCGTGGAGAGAAGAAGACCACACTAAGGCAACGAAGAGTCCAGCAATCTTTTCGCACATAATTATTCTCCACGCGATTAGTTCGTGCGAACCCACACATGGTGCGGTGGTAAGCGTATTCCTACGCTTATAGCACACTGCGCCAGACCGCTGAGTCAAGTGGGGCCATGGTAAGCCATAATATTAGGCCTTTTTATCATTTTCTCCTCTTGACAAATATAACAATTCTATCCTATCCAAGGATAAAGTTTTTTCACCCTTTTGTTAAAACTGTGACCTTTGACCCTAGACATGCTTGAATAAACTCACCTTAATTTTTTCTTCCTCTTCTATTCTTTGTTTTTCTTCTTCATCAGCTTCCTGTTTTTTCCTTCGTTCCTCCATTTTTATGATGAATTTACTACGAAGGTCGCGTGGAGGTCGAACTGCGTATTTTTTCGGCTCTGGTTTTGGAGGTTCAACTTTGACCTGAGAAATATAGATCAATAAATCGGTTACTTGTTAATCGATAAAAAACGCTTCGAAAATGTTTTGTGACTGTTGACTGTTGTAGAATTTGGGGTGCACCTGAAGATAACGTACTAAGATGTCGCACAACCTGAACATAGCATGTGTACCAGGTTAGTGTTGTTCAGGATGTGCGTCATCTTGGTACGAATGCTTCCGAAGCGCCAAATTTGGAATGTGCTGCAAGTTCCATTCGTTTCTGAGGCTGAAAAAGGCTCCAGACAAGCAGTCTCTGTTATTTAAATCATTAAAATCTTTTTCGCAGATTTACTTAGATCAGGGGCATGCAACCTTTTTTACAGGGGGGGCCGAATACAAGTGACTGGGTGAAGTCGTGGGCCGCACTGACTTTGAATTTTTCCAGTAAAAAACACGTGTTTATGACATTGTGTGTGTATATTCCAACAGGCTAGCTAGTTATGCTAATAGGACAGTGGCACTCAGGTACTGGTATATGCTTGGCGACAGCTTCACGGCGCAAAAAGATTAAGATTGCTCGAAAGCATCAGATTAACTAAACTAATAACTCGCTTAGGGTGCACCATTCTAAATTGGCACTTCTCTGCGGGCCGCATTTAGCTCGCTGGCCGCAGTTTGCACATCCCTGACTCAGATCATTGACTGTTGCAAGCAAAGAATTGAAGTGTGAGGGAAAGGTTCCATTTCACTTTGAGATGTCAAACTACGCAAGTCAGTAGCCAAACCTTTTGGTTCTGCTGTAACGCTTGCTAGAGTCACGGCAGTCATTTATGCAGCTGAAAACAATCCAGACAACCCTGGTACTAAAACGAGATAGCGATCGGAGACCGCAGACTTATCAATCTTTCGGTGTGTATCCTTCGCTCTGACTGAATAGCGTCGCCGCATGTCCCGTCACTAATTAATTAATAACTCGCTAATTATATGACATAATTTCTCCAAAATCAATAGGCTTCTGGTCCGAGATATGATGAATGCACAAGCAAAATTTGGAGCAGATTCAACTTCGCTTTCGTGAGATATCGCATAACATACAAAAGTGTCTAACAGACCGATCGAGATCGATAAGTAAAAAACTATTGAAGTGCTTTGCACGGATTCAATGACCATTGGCTGTTGCAAGCAAGGAATCAAAGTGTGAGGCAAGGTTATTAAATTTCAAAAAACAGTAAATAACACAACATACCTCTTCTTTTTTCTTTAACAAAGGACAAATCTCCCTCGATTCATCATAAAGACAAACTTCTTTTATCGGCGTAACAGCTGACAACGTACGCATCATAACAGCTCCGAGTAAAAGAGACAAAGAAGGTTGCTAAAGTCGAAACAATTTCTGCCGGAAAAAATAGATACAAATAGTAGTCTCTGAGATGAAAATCAAAAACCTACCGGGGACGTTTGAAATTGGAACAGCTCCAATTGAAAATGTCAAAGAAATTTTTCGTAGCTTGAATGCTTTTTCAGAACCCCCCCTTTTTGAAAATTAAAGGTCACAATCTTGCTCCCTATATATCGTGGAATATAAATGGCTACATGTACAGAGCCTTGTTCAGAGAGGTAGGCATAAAGAGAGTGACAAAGTATGAAGATCTGTTTCAACAATTTTTAAATTAAACTATGCTGTGACTTGAAAACTGGTTTTGTATTTTATTCAATCTTAGCAATCTCTGGTTTTCATCAAATTGTATCACATATAGAAAATAAAATTCTTGAAATCTACTTTTTGCTGTTTCAAAATAGTGTCGAGAATAAAAAGTTGTCGTGCAAGTCACACATGGGGGATCAAGGCATCATTGTTATGTAATCTGACACAAACTCGGCACAACCTTGCCAGTGATAAAGTTCCTTGAATTTTAGAAGAGTTGGACGCATCGTAGTACAGACAAATTTCTGTTAAAAAGGAAAAATTTATAAAGTTTGTAGCAAACAAAGAAGCAGAATCTCATTCCACATAATACAAGTCTTCGTCAAACTTTTGTTTTAACATAGCAGTTTCTATACATGATGGAGAATAATTTCGTGAAGTCCAATTCTAGTTTCTGAGGGGACTTATGGAATGAACACCATAGGGTTGAACACCAACAATCTTCTGACACATAATTGTTAATTTTTTTTTATTTTATTTTCATTCTATAAGACACTTTTCTGAAAGTATGGTCACATGCACCAACTCTGAATAAAATATACTCATCTCTGAGCAAAATTAAAGACAACACTAAGATGCCATGGGCTATCGAAACTCTATAAAATTATGATGATGACACAATTGACACCAAGAGTAAGAATATTTACCTCAATTCCACATTCATTTAATGGATTCAAGAAAAGAGGTTTTCTATCTCTGAACAGATGTACATATTGCCGACGAAGTTTTCCTGCGTTTTCCAGAACTAACTTTTCTTTTGGAGAGTTTTCTTTGTACGAATCTGGAAACTCTGACAAATCAAACTTTGGGATTTGAGCTGAGACACTGAAAATCAACAAAATATCAATGTTATGATGGCGGTAATTGAACATTTTATCAGGCTGGTTTGAGGTCGAAGCAAAGAGTGTTGAAATCATTCATTCATATAACCATTTCACGAGGTGAATGATTGAATTTATAAATTTTGCATGCGCAGTTACCCATAACAAAACACAAGCTTGCATAACCTAAAATAACGTTATGAATATGACACAACAGTAAGGCACAGTTCTCTGATTCCAAGAATAGCCCCTTTCATGATGAAGTTTTAAGCATAAAAACGTCGACAAAAAAAGATTATGTGACTGACCCACGTCGCTATCGATTTAAAATAATATAGAGACAAGCATGTCGTAATCTAACACCGTTGAACAGAGAACTGTACCTTACTACTAGGGCTGGGCATTTCGAATCGAATATTCGAATCGAATCGAATAGTAAATTATTCGAATCGGTTCAGACGGGAATTTCGAATCGCCGCCATCTTGTTTTTTTTTCTGTCCACCAGTGGTCGAGGCGATTTACCGATTTTTTTTTTGTGGAGCCATCTCTCGGCGGGACATTTCGATCGCTGTTTTTTTTTTATTTCTCTCACATCTGTAGGCGGCGTTTGAACATGTCCAGACTTGCACCTCTCCAAAGCCCTCTCTCTGCTCTCAGCTGTGAGCAGGACAAACGGCCGAGCTTCTCTCTCATATTATCTCTCGCACGTGCTACGCCGTCGTGATTTTGTCACGCACGCTTTTATGGCGCGTAATTTGTTCAGAATGCGGGAAGATCGGTTGCGCCGTCAGTTAGGATAGAATAGGCAGTTGTAGGACAGGCAGTTTTACACTTGCGTATGTTTTTGTGATTGCCGACATGCAAGTGAGAAGGTATAGAAGACTATTTGCGTGCTTTTTTTTGCAGAATTATTGTGTATTTTTAAAGGGGTTTCTAGAATATTGTATACCGGTACTCGGCAACGTACGGTATGATGAATAGGAAATCTCCCGTTTGGCGCCACTTTTACTCCCCAGCCAAAGACGATACGAACGCCAGTACGTCGTGTGCAAGAGATGCGGAGACAAACTTAGTTACCATGCTACCACTAGTAATCTATTAGCCCATATTAAAAGAAGGCATGTAACTATTTGTTTGAACCCTGATAATCGAAGTGATTTGGACGAGTCCTCCAGTAAACAGTCCAAATTGGAACTTATTCGTCCCATCCTCCCTGCTCAGCAAGAAAAGATTACTTCTCTAGTTGTGGATTTTATTGTAAAGGATATGCGCCCGCCCAGCACAATAGAAGGAACAAATTTCAAGCGCTTAATGGGACCTGTTGCACCAAATTATTCACTGCCATCCAGGAGGACCATAACACGACGTGTAGAGGAAGAATATTGTGAAAAAAAGATGGAGCTCAAGAGAATTCTTGAAAACATTAAGCATATGAGCTTGACTTTCGATGCTTGGACTAGTGTGAAAATGGAAGCATATTTGGGCATTACAGCCCATTATGTTGATGCCAAATTTAATCTGTGTTCATGTGTGTTAAGTGTGAAACCTTTGGATGATAGACATACTGCAAAAAATATTTGTGAGTGGGTAGAAGAAGTTCTCAATGACTTTGGTGTTAGTCCTCACGCAGCAGAAAGCGATAATGGATCTAATATGAAGGCAGCAAAGATATTTTTCATGAAAAATTTTGGTTGGGCTAGTGTTGCTTGTGCAGCGCAACACTCTCCAACTTTGTTTAAACAAAGGATTGGGAATAAACGCATAGAAAAACCTCTTGCAGCAGCCTCGACGACTAGTGCACATTTTAAGAGAAGTGAATTGGCGACCAGTGCACTGGGGAAAAAGTGTGAGGAAATGAAGCTTACCTCCAAAAGACTCATAATGGATGTATCCACAAGGTGGAACAGTACTTACAACATGCTTGTAAGGTTGCAGGAATTGCAATGGCCAATTTGGCTATACTTGGAAATAAAAATATCACAAATGCCACCAAAGCCTCCGCTCTTACAATCAAGCCTGGGGACTGGGAGATTTTCAAGCAGTTGATTCCAGTACTTGAACCTTTTGCAGAGGCTACTGATCTTTTAGGAGGCGAAAAATATGTCTCGATATCGATAAAGAATCCATACATCAAGGGATTGAAAAAACATCTGTCACGCGAGAAAGATGAAGAACTTTTGGTAATCCGGCAGTTCAGACAAAAAGTAAAGGCGAAATGGAGGAGCGATTTCCTATTGATCTTAATGATATCAGCTCGAAGGCAATGGCTCTGGATCCCAGATATAAACTGCGGGGACTTCGTACTGTGGAGTCACTTCAGGTAACTTGTTATTTCTTCCTGAAAAAGATTTTTATCTTGCCAACAAAATTGCCCTACATGACAAACAACATAGCATGTTATTTTGGTTGAATGAGGTCAAATTGAATTTTCGTGTATCTTCATGTTTCAAATGCATTGACAGGATTAGATAAAATTCATGACATATCTGCATCGACCATATCTAAAGATATAGAGTTGACTTTTTCCCCACTGTATAATAAACATTAGTGAACAATGACTTGTTTGATGTCAATTGTGGTTCCTAAATCGCAGAATTCCATAAGAAAACTAATCTAAAATATTCCTGTATTCAAAACTTGTCATTTATTGAATGCATAAAAATTTCAATTTATCCAATGTTGCTTGTTTTGGCCATACTTAATAAGGATTCCTAGTTGATCTGGCTAAAGTTTGTTTTCTTTTTGACATGCTTATTTTTTCCAGCTCAAAAGTGCAATCGAATTGGAACTCAGTCTTATTTGAACAAACAGTTGTTGAAAAAGCTGAACCTTCATCTTCTTCAGTTCAGCAATCGACATCCATCATAAGCCTTGCCTTCGAATCATCAGAGTCCGATGACAGTGCAGATACTGAGGTCCCAGTGGTTGCCAATGAAGTGAACAAATTTTTTAGTTCCAAAGTACTTTCTGAATGTTTCAAACCCCCTCACTTGGTGGAAGAGCAAAACGCTAATTATCCAAACTTGAGCAAGCTTGTTGGCAAATATATGTGTGTAACAGCAACATCAACCCCAAGTGAGCGATTATTTTCTGCAGCTGGAAACACTGCCACTGAGCTCAGATCAAGCCTCACCGGATCACATGTGGAAGCTCTTGTATTTTTAAAATGCAATTCTGACATATGACTTTTTCCTTCCCATTGACTTATTGATGAAGCATGTTTCTTATCATATGTGACAACTTAGCAAATGGACTGAGTGATAGATTTTGTGTTTTTGGGATTTCATGTATCTGAAGGACCCATTGCAATAAAAAAAAGTCACATGTAATTTTGTAGTTGCTAATTTGGTAAAATTTTTATAAGTATTCGAGATTCGATTCGAAAAAAATATTCGATTCGATTCTGAAATCATCAGGTATTCGAAAATGCCCAGCCCTACTTACTACTACAATTCAGCAATTGGCATATCATGCTAACCATAAAGAAGAAGTTTTCAATCACAATTCTGAATAGCTTGAATAATCCAAACTGCTTAAATATATTTTTGTAGGAATGTCTTTATTGTATTTTTAGTTTTTCTTTGAAAGAAAAATAATAAATTGAACTCACTCGCTTATTGGAACAACAATTGGTGGAATCGCGGCATCTAATTCAGCTTTCAACTCTTCTACTTTGCTCTCGACATCGGTTTCTTGTTCTCCCTGTTCCTCCTCGCCTTCTTCCTCTTCTCTCGTCGTCGCTTCTTCAATTTTATCCATTTTTGAAAGCTATAGTTTACTATTAGAACGACTGACAGGAAAGTCGAAAATCAGCAGAGCTTCCGCGGCGTAACTACGGTAACAAATATCGCATTTTATGGGTCAATGACTTTTACGGGTCAATTAATCAATATTCAGCGTTTTGGGAATATTGTTGCAATTTTATTACATTTTCAAAGCTTGCAAAAAATATTCAGTTTTATTCAAAAAATTTAAACAAATTAAAGTCATTGTGAGCTAAAATTTCAAAATAGGTAGGCTGAAAGTCACGGGTCAGTGATTCGAAAATGTCGGTTGTTGCGAATTTTAAATTTGAAAGAGATATAGGTATATACCGTACCAATTTTTTGATTTATATAATTTAAATATTTGTTTGTGAAAATTTTATCTGTGTAAACACCAGCGCCCTATGATTACTGTTGATGAAAATGAAAAAATTCAGGCCAAACTGATTTTCGTACGTCAGCACGGAACCACGGATTAGGATTCGTCAGTTTGTTTTGTATTTTACACACTACAGCAGTTTCTAAATTTGTAGATATTTTAGACCACTGTGAAGTGACTCACATGCCTTCTTCTATTCCTGTGTAGTGGTGCGATGAATCTCTCGTCTGTGTTCAGTGAAGAGTGGTGGTGTGAAACATGGGCGAGTCCTAAATTCAACACGGAGAAAATTCTCTCGAATTTGGGATATGAACTAAATACATCCCGATAAGCGGTAAATTCAAGTACATTTTACGGTAACTTAGGGATAAGAATTTCAAGGAATATACCGTATTTTCTAAATACCTTATCAAAAAAGTATTCACCCGACTAACAAAATAGGATCTGAGCAAGTCAGTTAATAAGATTCGTAATCAAAGGAGTTACTCTCAGCAATGACATTAAACAACATGATGCGCAACTCCGGCATTTTTGGCCGAAAATCGTATTCGATAGCACGCTCCAATGCACATACTTGACGAGACGAAAACGAGCGGATGTGTGTTGCTTTCAAGGCATAGCACGAATGGTGTTCGAGCCTGCTTCGACAATTGTTGTGGTTTTTAATGATATGTGGAAAATTGAAGGTAAAAAGAAATCGGAAAAAAGTAAGGTAAATACTATTGTTGTATATCACACCCGGGCATCGCACTGTTAAGTACATGCGGGAAAGCCAGCTTTTGTCAAATACTACGAAGTTTATAATTCAGTACGGTACGTAGTTGGCCATCTGCCGAAATTGCATATTTACTTACCCCTTATGGTTTCAAATAGTTCATGCACCTCCATTTAGATTTTTTTAATCAGTGAGGATATATACTTATTGCTGTAACATACTATTGCCCATTCACTTTTATTTGCGTATTGAATCAACGGGTTAACAAGTTCACCTAAAATTTCACTCATACCGGTCTATATTGTATAGTCTGATCTCTCAAGTATTTGGAGCCACGAATGCTTATAATTTTCTGACTAAACTCCTTTATTAGTTGGTTTATATACCAAATCCAGTAAAACATTTTTTACAAAAAACATAAGATATTGGGTTTATTAGCTTTCCCATTCTGAATCATATAGACTGCTTTATTTATTCTTAACGAAAATTAATACATCTCCTCTCCTACAGATGTGAAAGTTGTGGACAGACCTGTCTAAGCATTGTGAGACTCCTGCAGCACAAGAGGCAATAATAGTGAGTATATCAATCAAGAAATTAGGCCGACATAAAACAAAACTTTCAACTATTCGTCTAACCTCAATTTCCTATTATTTATTCACAGGACAAGTGTAGCTGGAGGGGAGATATCAGAAGTCTGGCGACATATCAGTGACAGTTTGATTCCAAGTAATATGATTAGAATACTCCATAAATGTTTGCAATAGAAGAACAACCTATGGAGGAATGCAAAGACATTTGACCCTCCGGTAAAGTTGTGTATGGCCCCTACATCCTGCAGGGCTTGAGGGAAATTACTAAAAATTCCAAAGCGTAAGATTGCATAAGCGGTCTTCTTTGTAAAAAGGCACAAAACATGCCAGACATACTTAAAATAGCTTTGAAAAATGAGGATTACGGTTCACTGACTACACCTGTGTTATATTTGGTTCATCAAATTTTGGTAGTACTATAGAAGAAATTCAGGAAAGGGTATAATCATGATTCATGATAAAATAATGTTATATATTTTAGACAACTTCAATCTAGACCAGGGATGTCAAACTCGCGGCCCCAGAGAACTTCCAGTGCGGCCCTCGAACGCTTAACAATAATTGTAATAGTATTTTGGAATTTTTTTTCATTTAAATGTAAAAGATTTTTCAAACCTTTTAAAGTGAAATTGGATATTCACACAGAAAACAATTTACTGAAAATAGTTTTAGAAAGTTAATTTTTTTTTGTTCCCATTTTGACTCAATTAAGAATACACATCAAGCTAGCAAAAGAATACTGAATAAAACACTTGAGTGATTAAATTAAAGTACACGAAGAAGGTGGCATTTTCGAAGAAAATGGGAGTTGCAATATTTCTGCATTTCACAAAATTCTGAAGCACATTGTTAAATTTGTCATATTTCCATCAGTACAATGAAAAAACACAATAAGCTCAGCAGTCAATATGACAAATTCGAAGACCAACTCCGAACAGAAAATTTCCATGTGTTTGTATATTAATATAAATATACAACGACTTAGTTACTAAAAATCAATATCAATAATAATTCAAGCAATCCTATGCCATGCAATGTAGTGTGAAATGTCTTGTCGAAAAAATCTGTCATTTTTATTTTTACTGATCTATACATGAAATGATAAAAGTAACTTTTTTGCATTACTGGAATTAATTAAACTTTTGCAAAGATACAGATTAACCCATGATCATGTGACCTCGTTAGTTAGAGTTGGTACTATAAAATCATTTCAGCCTGGTCATAGTATACTGGTGACACAAAGAAGATGCCAAACGTCAGGACAAATGTAATTAAAAAAACATTGAGTTTATACTGTAGTATTTTTGTTAATTTTAGGTTCATATATTTAGATTAAGTCATTTTTAGTGTATATTTTATTCTTTCCTTAACCAAGGCTTGTTCAAAAATGATTTTGATGGTTGTACATGGAATTTTATGATTTTTTGTAATAAATACAGTAACTTGCAATAATAGTGGAATGCAAATATTAATATGTAATTGCATTTGAAATTAAAGAAAATAATAAAACTTAATCCAACTGATTAGTTGCATCACAATATATGTCACAAACTAAAACTATCTGAAAAATATCTCTCGAGTATACATTATCAAAAACTGTTTGCGGCCCTTTTTACAATTTCTAACATGCAATGCGGCTCTCGAAACCCATGAGTTTGACACCACTGATCTATTCTAGACGATTCAAGCAGTCCTTTGGGAAATAATATCACTTCAATTAAATTGAAAAAAATCTCGCTATATTAAATACAAAACCGTTGCTATCATAAAGGTAAACCAATTCAGCCACTCGGAATATATTGGCCTTCACAAAGCAATGGAGGCAGAATTGAGAGTTCATGAGCTATAAACTTTTGTTCTTTTCTTTGTCTTGAACTTTACATACTCCACAGCCTCTATTAATTTTTTTAAATTTTAATTACCATGTGATGGTCATACATACTGTATCTTTGTATTTTCTGTCATGATGTATTATCTCAATGTGTCAAACTTTTAATTAGTGTGTATATTTTGCTTTCAGATGACATGAATGTATTGTCTTGCTTATTACCTCAGCTTGGAGTATTGACAAGAAAAAAGTGCCCGTAAATTACGTAAAAAATGTTTAAATCTTTGATATAATCAGAATTCACATTTAATAGGAATTATAAACAGCCAACAATCAATGAGAATTATATGCAAAATTCCTCAGATTGAATTTGTCTTCTAAAATCGGAGGAAGGCAAAACATATAGGTAGTCTCCATTCACACAAGTCTTTCAAGAAGACTTGCTCGAGACAAACTAAATGAGCATCGTCAGGTGATTGGTAAGGCTGCAAGTTGAATCAGCCCTGCAATCTCCTACATAGAAGATAATATTAATTAGCGGGCTATGAGCTAAATTCCTAAATTTAGACACAAACCTATCTACGAGGCATTATGTACCAGTAATGTTACCTACGATTAACTGAATATGTAATATGTCTAATAAATTCACCTACTAAAACAGTTCGATAGGTGCAAACTTTGTGTTATGGAATTGTATCACAGCACCTTTAAGAGAAGTAAAAACAGTTTTGCTGTTTGTATGACACCCTCTTTAAATGAAATTTCAATGTTTAAGCGCAAACATTAAAATTACTAACTTTGAACTTTGTCATTATCTGCAAAATGTTTCACACAAATCTTTACGCTATCGCGTTTGTAATATTCTCTGATAAAAAAAACGTCTATGATGTTCAGAATTACTCTTTACAGCTTGTCTGCCATTCCAGCTTTCCAAATGAGCAAAACTTCTCAGATATAGAGATTATTTTCTTTCGTTACAGGCGCAAAAAGGCAGGTACTACACGTAAAGAAGACGCCGAG